TCTTCGGTGGTCTGCGCAGGCGTGGCGGAGGGAGCTTCCTGCTTCCCAGAATACTCCCAGTCTCTTTTCTCCACCCCTACTTCCTGTCTGGCTTTCCTGCCTATACTGCCTGCCTGGCCAATCAGCGTTTTATTAAAATATGATTGACAGAATACAGACAATTCTCCCACATCACATTCCCAGACATATAACTTTGTTTTATGCTGCCCTCTGTAAAAGAGGAGAAAAATGCCTTAACATCCTAAACATCACTAGCATTTGTGCCTGACACAGAGGAAAGAGGCAGAAAAAGGTCAAACCAAACAGTTCTGAATTCTCATGCTAGACATATATTGAATTTTTAATGATGCAAATAATTCATAAAAATGTATACACGTTCACAATGGGTAATGAAATTATCATCCTCTGCTTAAAGAGATGAGACTAATGACCACAGCTCTATGAGTTTTCTTGGATGATTGATGGGAGAAATAAACTTGATTTTATTGTGTTTGTAATGAACAGACTGCCAGGAGTTTAAGCCATGGTAGTAAAGTTGGAGAGAGAAAGAGCATTAATGGACAAAAAGATGGCATATAGATTTTTTTTTTTTTTAGCAGGGAGGGAGCTGGAGTGTAATGAGAAGGCGGCACATAATGGTGAACAAGAAAAGAGGCAAAGCCATGGGGCAGTGGTCAGAAGGCTGCAGAGTTAGATTACGTGAGGATATGAAGCATTAGTGGCAGAGATTTTCAACAAATGACTGTGCCCCACCTCTCTCCCCTCACCTCTCTCTCCCTCTCTCCTCTCATAGGTATTGGTAACAATTGGTAATTGGTAACAGTATTGTGAGATAGAAAATGACATGAAGCCAGAGCAGTCTGCTCTGTTTTCTAGACAAGGTCCAATCTGGGTTTCCTCTGTATTTCATGAATCAAGCCCAACTTTGGTCACCCTTGATCAACTGAGGCATGTAGTTTGAAGTTTACTTTGTTGGGTGTTAAAATAGCTTTTCTGACTTACTTCTTGTCTCCATTTGTGTGGGATACCTTTTCCATCCTTTCATGCTAAGGTGATGTCTACTAAGGTGTGTTTCTTGAACACATCAAAAGGTTAGATCCTGTTTTTCTATCTTTTCCGTTAGTCTGTGTCTTTTTACTGAGGAAGTATGACCACTGATACTGAGAGTCTTCGTGAGCAATGTCTATGGACTCTTGTTGACTCCAATAATCGCCTCCATCAGAGGTAGCTTTCGAGGTCTCATGAGATGGGACAAGATGTTTGGAGGTCAGTCAAACCCCTGAATGATAATTTCTGTACCTCCCTGGGGATCTCTGGGGACCTTTGTTCAAGCAGGGGTCCTTGGTCTCTACTTGAACAAAGCCATAGATATTAGGGTCACTTGAGTGATGCTGACTTTGTGCTTATTGTTTGCATGTAGGAGGTTTGGTCATGAGTGACTTTGCAGTGATTAGGCCTCTATGTGAGCTCTGGACCTTGGGGGACTGAGAGACCCTACTTGCCTACATTAGCCCTGGGTGATGTCAATACATCTTCTCATTAGAGACTCATCATGGTACTTGAGGCAGCCTTAGTCAAGTAGCCAGGCTGCAGTCTGGTTCTCTTGCCCTAGTAGACTACACCTCCTTTTGAATCCAACAACATTTCTATGTGGATGCTCCCTGAGTAGATGCAAGAGATTCGTTTCACAGTGGAGGGAGTTTATGACATATATGGCTTCTATAGGGTGTTATTTTCTCATGAAGGCAACCCAGACCAATCTACAGAGTGTGGAAAGGAAACAGGATGTCTTAGTTGGGGTTCCTATTGCTGTGATGAAACGCCGTGACCAAAGCAACTTGGTGAGGGAAGGGTTTTTTTTTTGACTTGAGGTTCCACGTCACAGTTCATCATCAAAAGAAGTCAGGATAGGAACCCAAGCAGGGCAATAGCAGAGAGCCATGGAGGGGTGCTGCTTACCTGCTTGATCACCATGGCTTGCTCAGAATGCTCTCTTATAGAATCCAGGACCGTCTGCCCACGGATGGCACCACCCACCATGGGCTAGGCCCACCCCCACAATTAAAAAAATGCACTGAAACCAGAACATATGGATGTATTTTCTCCATTGAGGTCTCCTGCTTTCAGATAACTCTAGCTTGTGTCAAACTGACATAAGACTATTAGTACACAGGATGATGTGATCAAGTATTAGATAAATGGTTGTATCAATTAGTTGTTTCTATGCAACAAACCACCCCCAAAGACATAGTCATTATCTTCATTCACCTATTTTTAATTAGTTGAGCTTGGTCCATCCAGGATAGTCTCAGCTGGATTGTACTGCTTCAAGCTATGGGCCTGGCTGGCTTTGGCTTCTTGCTTTCTGTTGAGCCCAAGTCTTCTCTAAATAGTCCATTCTAGATCAAATCCATAGGGACTGTAGCTATCTGGAGGAAGCTTTGCTCATGGTGTCAATAGGCACAGGAGAATGAGTCCAGACATCAAGTTCATGTTTACATTAGTCTAATGATGCTCCGTTGGCCCAAGAAAAGCCAACATGGATAACAACCAGGTCAAAATGCAGGGATATGTGTGTTAGCTAGGAAGAGAACAAGGTGGATAACGTTTAGGGGGCAGGAAGAAAGACTCTCTCTGAGAGAAGGCAAAAGAGAATGGGTTTCACTGAACACTAATCTTTATCTTCCCTAAACCCATTATTTCAGAAAGCCCAACCCAGGGAGGTAAGAGGGTTAGTGTTGAAAAGAAGTATTCCAAGTGCTTGGAAATCGACGTCATAGAAATATAGAGTGGGTTCTTATACTCACTCTCTCGCCTTTACTGCTAAACATTCCAAATGTAAATTCAAACCCCAATTTCCATTTGCTAAGAGAAAAAACAAAAGCTCAGATGGTTTGGAAACATTTATAACGTCAGTTCATGCCTTGGCGCCTGAATCTCTTGCTATCTAACACTTGAACATACTTATTACGCATCTTTAAGATGTCGCTACATGATTAATACCACAGTCTTTGTCAATAAAAATTATGGGAGCTTTGTTGAGAATAAACCTGGGAAACATTTTCTAATCTAATCCTAACAAGAGAAGAGAGAGAGAGAGAGAGAGAGAGAGAGAGAGAGAGAGAGAGAGAGTCCATTAACAGTGTTTTACCAGTGTTATAGCCTAAATATGAAATCTTTCCACCAGCATATATGCTCAATGATTGTTTCCAGATGGTGGTTCTGTTTTGACAAGGTCTAGAAACTTTGGAAAACAGAGCCTATCTGGAAGATGTAGGTGTTTAGGTTCATGTCCTGGTGTTCTCTCTCTCTCTCTCTCTCTCTCTCTCTCTCTCTCTCTCTCTCTCATTTATTCTCTCTCCTACTTCTCTCTCTCCCTCTTCCTCCCTTTCTCTCTGTCCCCCATCTTTTCTGTTTGCCATCAAGTGAAAGCTTCTTTATGACACACTGATTCCCACCACCATGGTGTCCTGTCCAAGTGCACAGGATAAAGGATAGATTGAACCCTCTGATACCATGAGCCAAAATAAACCATGTTTTCCTTGGGGTTGTATGACTCAGGCATTTTGTCACAGTGAAGGGAAGTAATTCATACAACAGGGAGGGAAAGTGGCCAGAGCAAGAGAATGATGACTGCTTAGAGACCCAGGCTGCCAGACTCTGCGCCCTGCTCTCTTGGTCCTGTAATGCCTGGATCAGGATAGCCACCTGTAACCATGAACTTCCGTTAATATTTGTATGCGTAAGCACTGACCTATAACTGAGCATTTCTCTCAGGTAGCTGTGGGACCAGCAGATAGGGAAGCCAAGGCAGATGATGTTAATACATCCATTTCTCAGATGTGAAAACTGAGGGCAGAGGTTAATGAATTCATTTGTTCCATGATAGAAATGGGACCTTCTGGCTGTCTGGTTCTACCCTGATACACCTCATTTGCACACAAGGGCCAAAGCTGAAGACACTCTTGGGTCTCTGTCTCTCCTCTCTGCTTTTCCTGCTCTATTGTACATAGACCTGGCTGGCCAAGGGGCCTAGGGTACACTTGGACTTTCCAGGAGCCCAGGTTCTCTGGAGACTTTGGCCTAACTTAATGCAGAGTGGCCTTTGCATTGTCTTGAGTCTTTCGGATGCTGCAGTGAGTCCTAAGGCAGATTCTCATTCTCGAAGTGATGCGGGAGAATTGTCTGTATTCTGTCAATCATGTTTTAAATAAACACTGATTGACCAGGCAGGAGATGTAGGCGGGAAAATCAGACAGGAAGTGGAAATGATGCAAGGAGAACAGGCGAATTCTGGGGAGGAGGAAGTTGATTCCTCCCACTCCTGCCCAGATCACCAAAGCAGCAGGATGTGAGCTGCCCCACTGAAAAAAGTACTGAGCCACATGGCTAACATAGATTTAAAAAATGGGTTAATCAAGATGTGTGAATTAGCTAATAAATAGCCTGACCTAATGGGCCAATCAGCTTTATAACTTATAGAGATCTCAGTGTGATTTTTCTCTGGGACTAAACAGCTGGGGGGCAGGGCAGGAAAGAAGACCCAACAAGCAGGCCCGGCCTTCTCATGTTACATCGAAGGACACAGAATGGCAGCTGGGGAGTCTCTCCATTATTACCAAGGAACACAGGCTGCAGTCATGATCTCAGGTTACTAAAGTTGTCTAAGGAAAATCGTCAGTATTAAGAACGCATACCGAGGTGACTGAGTCACCCAGAGGAGAGAATTACGCCTTCTGTCCCCTTGGACTCTGCTGCTCGGGGAACACATCATTTTTTTTGTAAGGACTTACAGCAAGCAGATGATTAGAGAAAGCCAACTAAGTAGTAGTGAGGCAGGCATTCCCTGGACTGGCAGGACAAAGCCCTCAGTACCAACAGCACAGACACTCCTTTCGATTCAGACCATGGCTATTCTTTCCCACCAAAGGTTCTTTGCACCATCCTTGGGAAATTTGGGTTTTTCTGTTGATGAACTAAGTTCTTTCCTGGGAGCTCACCTTCAGAGAGTAGGAAATGCAAAACAGGGTCTCACTGTGGGAGACAGTCTTAAAGTTTCCAGACCGTGGGACTTCTGGTTTGCAGTGTAGCCCGTGAGAAGCCCAAGCGTCCTTCTTGGCCTGATAAGAGGAAAAGCCGAACAAATGACAAGGTGTCTCCTCTTCTTAGATCCAACACAGAGATTCAGCTACAGAGCAAGCCACTGACCCTGCCTGCGAGATTCAGACAGGCAGCTTCAGAGACTCATGGGTGGCTGTTTGTAGGATGGGATGTCACCTTGGGGACGGAAGTCACCTTGGACCTGACCGTGAGCTGAGTTCCTTGTCCTCAATACACTAACCAAAATTTGCTTCAAGGAATTACAAGGTGTACTAAGAGACAAAGTTTTGAAAAACATTTTTATGAAGAGACAGAATTAGAACCAAAATCGGGGCAGGAAAGTTGGAATTATGAGACCAGGAATTCCTAACTATAGTTTCCATACCCAGGATTCTAAAGTCCCTAAGTTAGTGCACTTGGGCTCAGTTCTTAACTCTACGGTGATGTGCAAACAGCGTGCATTCAGTATGCACTCAGAAATAGCACTTCAATTTGGGGCAGTTCACTGGGACCTGGGTTATTGGTGTGTTATGTAGTTCTTGCCCAAGACGCTGGGAGCGGTGATGAGCGATATGGCCTAAGCAGTCACGTGTTCCGGAGGAAAAGCCACCAGAAACCCGTAGTATACCGTGCTGCTCAAACGCGACCTTCACTAGCTGGCATCTCCAGTGCACTTCCATCTTACACCAACTTCAGCTTCAGAAGCATGTGCTGGGGTGTAGCCCACTGGACAGCAAACCTCTGCCATGGAAAAGTAGCATGTGGGGGAGATAAGTCATTGTATCAGAGATAGAAACTTCAGGTAAACATGAAGCAAAAGGACATTCTAGCAATCTAGAAACCCAGGCATCTCCATTATGAAGAAAAACAACAGGGTCCTTTTCATTGTAGAGTAAACAACCAGCTTGTTTACACAGTAAACAATCAGCTACAGCCACTTCCTTAGTCTCTTGTGTTTACAGTGTCCTGTGTACTATTTCCTCTAGCCTTGGCCCAATGGGTGTTGGTTCAGTGATATCTCTGCATGGGCACAGAGCTAAATATTAGCATCCCACAGTGAGGAGGGTGGACTTGGCCTCTGCCCTTAGGAAGCTTATTGATGTCCTCACTCCATCAACCATGCCAAAGGACTTCAGTCGGTAGCCAGGGACAGTTAGATGTCACTCTTACCTTGAGTCCTACCACATGCTTACACACGTGGTGGGTTGACAGCTGGTGGCTGTGTTCCCACTCGGCCTGCCCTCGAGGCGCTGTGCTAGGTACTACGAATTCTAAGGTGAAGGAACCAGACAGCGACCTTCCCCTTGTCACTTTTCAGTGTAGCCCAAAAAGACCAAGGGAAATGACTCCAGAAGTAACCCCGGCTCCTGAGTGTTGTCCCTGGAGTGTGCCTGTGGAGGCCTCTCCCACCACCCCCACCCCCAACACTGTCAACCTTCATCCCTGCTTTCTCCTTACCTAGCGATGAGCAGACTTACACTGTACACAGGAGGTCTGAAAGGGTGAAACAGGAAGAATGTGTGGGTGCCTGGCACAGTCTGACTAAGCCAGGGGAGTCTCAGGAGAGCAGAAGTTAGGGGGGCAAGTTCACCCTGATTCTTGATGCGGTGGGGCTCAGACTCTGAAAGAGGAGACTCTGCAGAGAAAATGCCAAGGAGGCAAAACAAAAGCTTTCATCTTCCCAGCTCCCAACAACCTGGTTTGTACAGAACTCTTGTGCCTCCTCCATGTAGAGTAAGAGGTAGCCTAGCTTTCCTAGTACTCCAAAGGCCCCAAATCGCAGCCCGTCAATTAGTCTGCATGAGACACACTGTGATAGCGCAATTGATTCGCTTGGAGTAAGTTATCACACAGTCGGCTGCAAGGCAGGCCAAAAGATTTTTAATGCACTTGCCTCCAGGCAATTATTAACATTCGCTCTGAGCAACAGAACCAGGGTACTTTCATTCCTCAATATGACACCCCTCTTCTGTTAAAGCCCAGTTAATTTTAGGAACTGCTCCGATTTAACACCTAGCTCACACGAGCCATACACCTTGAATAAATGCAAATCCAGTCTCTGTGGCATGAATTATGGCCTGATGCTGAGCATCACCATGGCAACTAATGACATCACCCCAAGCCCATCCTCACCCCCATCAGCACCACCACCCCCACACCAACCTGCAGAAAAATCCAATTCCTCAAGGGTCTTTACCTGCTTGACGTGGGTGCATTCTTAGCTTACATGTGCATTAGTAAATATTACTGTTGTCAAAGGTTCCTGGTAGGTATTTGCTGTGTTCAGGGAAGTATATTCCCTTTACGACAAGTGTGGTTCCTTGTTGTTGTTCATGTGTAGGGGGAGAGAATTCTAATGAAAATTACTGTGTGTATTTGATTAGCAACATTTGTTGATAACATATGGTCCAAAGAGGCTTCTGCAAATAAGAGGCTTTAAATAGTAAACAGAGATGTGGCTGAGATGGAGCAGATGCTCTCTGCAAACACACAGTACGAGGTGGCTTTACCGGGCGGGCGTTCTCCTGCCCTGCGCTCCCTTCCTCCCTAGATCAAAGGGTCCATTTTCAAAGCAGGGGCGCTGGTACATTTGCAGAAATAATGGGCTGTGATGTTTGAGTCACCCCTGCCCTTGGAATATGGATTGTCTCCTTCCTCGTGCTTCTTACCAGATATTAGTGATAGTGCCATGTGACCAAGTGAGTCAGCGGGTCCAAGCAGATCTCAGAGCAGCTTCTGGCCACCCCAGGTCCTTTTTTTCCCAGGACTCTGCCAGTGCTGCGAAGAGTTCCGTGAGGAATGTAGGCCAGTCGATTTTCTGGATATGGGATGAGCTGTCCTGGCAAGCGTGCCTTTATAGTTGCCCTTGCAGGTGTGCTATGTGAGCACACCTTGAAGGTACTAAGGAGACTAAACACGGTTCTGTTGCTGAGCCGGCAATTCTACCCCTTTTAACAGAGCTTGGCTTTTCTGTAAAAGATCAGGGAGTACATGCTTCAGGCTTAGGGGCTACATATCTGAGTCACAACTACTTAACCAGACACTGCAGTGCAGCAGCAATGTAGGGCAGCAGCCATGCAACCTCAGACAGCCCGTCATGAACGAGCATGGGCACACGCTGATAAAACTGTCGTCATGCTTCAGACTGGAATTTCAGTGCAGCGTCATGTATCACAAAATATTAATCTTATTCCATTGTTTTCAGCCATTTGCAAATGGGGAAACTGTGACTTGAGTCTAGGGAGATGGTTCGGTGGGGAAGGCCACCTACTGGGTAAGCATGAGGGCCAGAATTTGGATCCAGGCAAAAAAACTGAGCATGCCCTCTGACCCCGCATACCTATAAAAACTCCAGCAATGTGAGAGGAGGATGGAGATGGGAAGGCAGCTGGACATGCCAGCTAGCCAGCCTAGCAGAAAACACATAGCTGGTTCAGTAGGAGACCATCTCAAGGGAGTGAGTCAGAGAGTGATAGAACGGGCCATTTTGCTTCCCCTAGCCTCCACCCGTACACACATGGGCACGCACACACACACAATATGTGAACACAATACACACATACGCATACACACAGGATTTCTTGAGAGTATAAAAACCATTTGGCGGGACTCATGAGCTACACATAAGCAAATAGGCAGCCGGAAGTGACCCACAGGCCTGGTCTGGGCAACCTCTGACCTACCCCTAAAGTGAAGGCTCGATGCATTCTGTGTGCCCATCATTGCCTTAAACACTATGTGTGCCATATCTCTCTCCTGAAAATCCCTCCACTAACCTTCTGAGGTCAGTACTGCTCTTTGTATTAAGTTTTTATTTATCGTACATATAAATCAATTACTAATGGCCAAGCCCAGGCCCATGGGTCAGTTCCTGCTGCCTACTTATTAATGTCCAGCTCATGAGCCCAAAATGGTTTTTATACTTTCAAGAGTCCTTGTGTGTACACGCATGTATGTGTTGTATGTACATGTGGTGTGTGTGTATGCATGCCTGTAATTTACTTATGTCCTCCTTGAACCCTCCTCAACTGGTTTTATACATATATTTGTATCTATGTATTATATCTATCGTATATGTATATATGTAACTGGTCCCATATATATACATACTATATCGTATTTCCCCCTTATACTCTCTTGTTTCCCCTCCCACCTATTAGATTCTTACCTCTCCTCCCCTCTTCTACTTCCCTCTCTCTCTCTCTCTCTCTCTCTCTCTCTCTCTCTCACACACACACACACACACACACACACACATATATTATGCATGTGAGAGAAAACTTTACATGATAATCTTAGTTCAATCTCTTTTCCTCTAAGCAACATAATTTCATTCTTTCTTATGGCTGACTAGAATCCCTCTGTGTGTACACATATTTTCTTGTTTATGTTAATGGGCATGTTGGCTGAACCTATATCTTGGATACTCTGAACAGAATAACAGTAAACATGGGTTGGGAAAATCTCTGCAGTAAGACCCTGGGGTCGTTCAGGTATATATCCAGGTGTGTCACACTGGATCATACAATGTTTGTTTGGAGGACACTGCACTTATTTCTGCAGCATCTAGGCTGGCTTACATTCTAAGCAACAGAATACAGGAATTCTCCATTCCTACTTCCTCAACAGCTGCTGGCCTCTACTGGGGCTAGCCTCTGACTGTGAGAAGATGGAATCTCAACCTCTTCATTTGTACTTCTAGGCTCAGTACCATCGCTTTTATAGAAGGAAACCATGTCTCACATTCTTAAGAGCTGTCACTTCTGCGCATGGGCTCCCCCTGAGGAGAACATGGCACTTATGGGGACTATCCTACTATGATACTGGACTGAGCAGCATGGGGGATGTCCTACCTATGCTGGACCATATCCTACTGATGCTGGACCTAGCAGCATGGGGCATGTCCTACTAATTCTGAACCATATTCTACTGATGCTAGATCTAGAAGCATGGGGGATGTCCTACTGATGCTGGACCTAGAAGAATGGGGGAATGTCCTACTGATGCTGGACCTAGAAGAATGGGGGAATGTCCTACTGATGCTGGACCTAGAAGAATGGGGGATGTCCTACTGATGCTGGACCATATCCTACTAATGCTGGACCTAGCAGCATCTCATGTGATGATTTGCTTGTGGTGGATATTTAAAGATCACATCCCTGATGAAGAACTAATTAGGTACAGTCCCTAAGCTCTGGTGCTTAGGTATTAATCAGCTTTGTTGTCCTCCAAGTTACTCTCTTGTGCCTTCTTACAAAAGGACTCACACTGGACAGGTGCAGGTGTCCCACCACGCATGTATTCATATTGGGAGGACTGATTATAGGTGGTGACTTTTTCATAGTCTTCATTAATGTGCTTGTGACACTTTCTAACCTTGTTGTCACTGGCATCCACATTTCTCCCAGCCCTTCACTTTGTGAGCCAAGCATTGTTTGACCTGCAAGCATCCTTGCCTGGCTCCCCGGAGAGCCATCAGATGCAGTGGTGCCAGACCCCACAGGCATTTGGAATCACCACCATCCTAAAGGAGATGAAGGCCCAGGTACTGGAGGCTCCCACAGTCATGGTTACCTCCTGTCTCACCTCCACAGTTCCCCCCACCTATGACGTCATGGTTCACATTCTGTCAACCCTCCCTTTCTATCTAACAATCAGGATTTACTGGGTATCAGCCACTGTCCTTGGTGCAGGAAGTAGGACATGCTGAAAATGTTGCTCTTCTCCCAAACAACTCAGTATGTAGAGAGGAAGCCATTTACACAGAGGTTTCTGTCTGACTGTGGGATGTGGCTGTATCCAAAGTTTCTGAGAGATAGAGAACTCTGGTTCGATCCAGGGGTTTGGAGATCAGAAACTCAGAGTTTGAACCCCAAGATGGTGATGGGCCGAGGTCCTGGCCCAGTTACTTAACGTCTTCAAATCTAACTTTTCTCTGACTATAAAAGCATGAGGCAACTGGGTGTTCTTCACAGAGCAGCCAAGAGGCTTAAATGAGATGATCCATACAAAGCACTGAGTGGGGGGTCATGACAGACATAAGCCTCTGATTGGTGGCTCGCTGTAAACTAGCTGAACAGGATGACTATGGTGCCACTGGTGGCAGAATCCCAGAGAAAGGACAACTCACTCGTCGAATTTTATCTGCCTTGTGTGCAGAGGGAAGTCAGTCAGTTAACCTTCCCAGCCTTTGCTCGAGATAAATATTATCAGCCTCTGGTCTTTTCAAATCAAAGTGCAGTGGTGTTTCCATTCTGGGAGGCTTTCAAAAGGAGGTTTTCATCTTTGCAGCCATAGTCGATGGCACAGCGGGAGGAAAGGGCACGGAAAACACAGCAAAGAGAAATAGATTTGTTTATTGATGCATGGCCCACGGAAACCCCAAAGTCTGCCATGCATCTCCACTGGCTGATTTGTATGTCCGTCCAAGGTAGCATTGTCGAAAACACATTAACCATGGGAAAGAAACCCAGAGCTCAAGGTGAGTCAGAATTCCGGCAATCCAAAATGGAGCTTCCCTGGGGTTGCAGGGATAATTGATTATCCAAGAATGTGTGTGGTGGAATGAAGGAAGGATGGGATATGGTGTGGAGTTAGACTGTCATTTCCATTCCATGAGTACCGTGGGACACATTACAGAATCCCTGTGCCTTAGCTTCCTCATCTGTAACTATGGGCTCATAAATGTAGACATTTCACAAAACAGTTAACAAGTTTCTTTTAAGAGGATAATATGTAAGTATAGCTCGTGATTCTTCTAAAACAGTTATTGTAGCTAGCATAAAACTGTCTGGGTAGCAGTTATGATAAGGAAGCCAGTTCTTGCCCGAGCTGGAAAAAGACAAAGAGTGACCATCTTCATAACTTTTTTCTCGGCAGGACAGAAGTGTAGGAAGGGTCTGAGAATTAAGCCTTCTTGGTAGGAGCGAGCTGGCAGTAGCCCTCGCTGAATGCAGTCCTCCATGCAGCACAGAAGCTTCTTTTCAGCAGCCCAGGACAGCCACAGTCACTGTGCAGCCGTCTTCCAGCCAGCGTCCTCAGCCCAGGGAGATTGACTCCACACTGGCTTCAGAGGCCTGGGACAGGATGTCTTAGAGACCTCCGGCTCAGGAGGGGCCCGGTTTGGTTTAGCGTTCTTTCCGGCGGCTGTCTTGCTGTTCTTGGTGATTTCGTCTGTAAAGGCACATGTGGAATGAAGTTCCCCTAGGCGATGGCACAAGCGCTGAGGAAAAGAAAAATCCTTGATGGTTTCATGCCGTTTTAAACATGCTTGTGTGCCTGTGTGTGTTTTTCTGTCTGTGTGTCTTTTTGTCTGTCTGTGTGTGTCTGTGTAACTACACCCTGAAGGATTATGTAGTTGTTCCTCTTATGTTTAGTTCATGGCATTGGCTTCATGAAATACAACATTGAGACTAACGGTCATGTTTCCACAATGACATGAAAGAGGACATAAAAGCAGCCAATAGGCACAGAGCAAAATGTGAAGCCCACTAACAGTCAAAGGAGTACCCATGAGGGCGGAAGAGAGAGATCATCCTTTTAGAACACTTGCTGTTCTTACAGACGGCCCAGGTTTGCTCCCCATCACTCACAGAACCGCTCACAGTCACCCTGACCCTCACTCAGTTCCAGAGGTCAAACCCCCCTTCAGGCTTCCGTACGCCCTCCGCACATAAGCGGGACATGTGCATTCATCCGTGCAAAGCACTCATACACATGAAACAGAAATATATACATCTTTTTAAAGAATTCTCATAAAATGATCATGACAAAATAGACCATCGACAAGGTGAGAAGCCCTGGGCAGGGTAAGAACAATGCCCTTGGTTTATACTAAACTCCAGATGTAGGGTGGTCACTGTCTTTACATGAAGTACCTGAGGAGCAGGTATCGCAGACTTATGTTCACCGCTGTATACATAAAAGATAAGGGTGTTTCTTGAGGAGGAAACGCCTCTCCTCTAGATCTCTGTCCCAAGGAAATTATCAATCAAGGTAAATTCTTTAAATATTACCTTATATCCAACTCAGTTGCTATGATAGACTAATGGTTACATAAACTACAATGTATTTATACAATGTAAAGCTGTAGTCATTGAAACCAGATTTTAACAAATGCCTGGCAGCATGGGAAATTGATTATATAATGTAAAAACAATCTGTAGATAAAAGCTGTTGTCTGTACTATTTCCTGGCCCTGTAAAAGAACATATATTTGATACTACTTGTTCATCCAAAAATATTTATTCCATGCCTTCCATGTATGTATGACACACTATGCTAAATTGTAATATAAATGAACAGAGCCGTGTTCTCATGGAGTTGAGAAAATATAAGATAATTCTCAACTTAGCCATCATGAGTATGCCCATTTAGCACAATTCCCTGGTGACTGGAGGCAGAACGAGATGCTGTTCTAAAGACAGGTTTGTACCTAGGCTCAGCTTCCACTGTGAGATCAGAGGATGTGTTCTCCCTGAAGGTGACATTTAGGCCATCCCTGACAAGGTAGTAAAAGTAGAGAGAAACCCTGCCACCTGAGAGAACTGTGCAGGTGACCAGCAGTCCAGCAAAGGCAAGAGGCCCGTGAAGGGAGCAGGTGACAGGGAGGGCACAGGTAAGGGTCAGCACGGCCCCGTGAAACATGCCCGGAATGGCCTAGAAGGTAACGCGTGCTCAGTGCACACAAAATCTTCTCTTTTCAGTTATATAATGGGTAGAGGCACAGCCTCAGAGCCATGAAAAGTGAATAAAGAAACCACTTCTGAGCACCTGCTCCCTGGTGTGAGCCAAGGCCTGGCTCTACCCCCATGCTGGATAATCCAGACTCTCTTCCCAGGCTAGATTGATCAGGGGAAGAACATCCCCTAATCCCTGGCCCTTCATCTTGCATACCCTCTTGGTGGTAGAGCGCCTCTCAGTCCTCTTTTCCACTTCTTGAGAGCGGCTCCCGCCCTGTGCCCCGTGGCTGCTGAGGTCCCTCTGTCAGGATAGGTGTCAGCCTCATCTCACCGACCAAAGTTCCACTGCCCATGAAGCAGGTGTTCCAGGACCCAGAGGAAAGGCTGGTGAATGTGTAATATTGTTTGCAGGGAAGAGAGCATCAACGGAAACCTCTCTGACTTCCCCTGACGCTAAGCACTCTGGGAAGGCCCATGGCGACTTTCAGAGCTTCTGCCTTGTATCCGCCTCCCAAGTTAATCAACACTTTTCTGTCACTCTGGCAGCTTTGGGGCACTGGGACTGGATGTGACAGTCGACGCTGCCTTAAATTAACCAAGAGCGACCCATTGCCAAGGTGTACACTGAATCTGACATTCTCTCCACAGCTGGGGCACCCAAGGCGACTTCTCCACCACGCATGCGCTGCCAGCAGTTAAAGTAAAGCTTTTCACCGAGAGCACTGGCGTCCTGGCCCTGGAAGACAAGGAGCTCGGGCGGGTAAGTGCTCCCTTTGGCAAGCGGCACAGAGTGGGTGTCTGGGGTACCTCTCTTGCCCCGAGGTCATGAGCAAGCAGTACACTAAGTGCCCAGGGGCCTACAGCCTGGACCCTGAGCCAGTTTCTCAACCTGTCTGAGCCACAGGGTGTCCTCCATACACTCTGACTAGCACGAGTGTGTTTCAGAAGACAGGTTGGGGAGACTCCACGCCATCGGACTGGAGAGATGTTTATGGCAAAGCTATGTCGTGCCTCTAACTGGCTTAGCATGAGATTTGTGGCATTGAACTGCCTAACCTCCTGGCAGCATTGAAATCAACACATTTGGATAAAAGAGGAACAAAGAGAAATTCGTGTTTTAATGCTGACATTCAAAATATAAACACTTGAATGGTTTGCCTTACCCCCAGGTAGAAAACACTGTGGAAATGACTGATTTGGGACCCTCCTATTGGAGAGCCAGTCTATCAGTTAACCAAGTGACTGAGCCATTAAACAGCTTTAAGTAAAGCACCCTTGACTGCCTTGGAAACATGCTCACAATGCCATGCTCTGAGATGTCACACATAGTTAAGGTGTAGGTGGAGTTGACTATAAACAGGGTTTTTTGTTTTGGGGTTTGTTTGTTTGTTTGTTTGTTTTTTAATGTCTGCCAATATCAGGTGAGAACAAAAGAGAGTCAGGGAGGCTGTAGGGTACTCCTGTCCAGAAAAACTCTCCCTCCCCACCCAAAACTGAACATCCCGCCCCACTCACTCATTGCCAGCAGAGACCAGACCCAGGGATACAGTGATCAAAATAGCTTCAAAATAGTGCTCCAGCTTTCCTGGTAGAGATGAGGCAAACCGTTTCTGTGGACTGTGTGAAACCTGTCCAGACCCAGAGTCACAGAGAGCCCAGGCACCCCAATTCCATCCACAGGAATGCTGTACTGGCAACAGTAGTAGGCTCAGCCCTTGAGGGATTTCGTAGGTATCCCCCAAGGCAGATACTCACTCAAGCCCCAAGGGATCCGATGGCTTGTGAGGAACACTGACAGCTCGCCAATCATCTTCACACTGCATGACCCCCATGGAGAATTAGTTAGAGTGGTAGTGTCTGCTGAGGTGGTGGAGGCCATGGGATTGCTGCTGTCCACACAGGGATTTACTTTTGGGGACTGGACACTAGCTTCTTTCTCCTTCATGCTTCACAAACTCTCCACTGACTCTGAGGTACAGGCAGCACCATGTTTCTCAAGTGCAGTCATTCTGTACACCACACGGCTGCATGTGGTGAGCTGGTTCTACCAAGCGGAGCAGAGCCTCCCGCCGGAGTCCGGGGGTTGGCTTCATCCCTTCAGCCATCTTGAGTTTATTCCATCTGTATTATGTCTCTCACACATAAAATTTTAAAAATAAGCAAATTTTTCTAATTTACTCTTAAAAAATTATTCCTTGAGGGTAGGGAGAGGTCTCCATCATTCATGACTACCCTCACTCCCCACTCCAGCCCTCCAGAGTGTCTGTTGGAGTTATTTACATATTTCCCACAATTTTAACCAAAGGAGCTGGGTCTGATCGTTAATGCTGCACACAGGGTGAACAGAAATCAACTCAGGTAGAACTCCTTAACTTCCTACACTTACAGAGCACAGGCAGAAAAGCTATGAGTCGTTCATTGTGCCTGAGTCCTGCGAAGAAAGCCCACAGCAAGAGACAGACCCTTTTGTGAAGTGGGGTTGCCTTTCCTGGGGAACAGAAGCAGGTGGGGAGAGAGAAATGGGCTCAGGCCAGAGACAGCCTGGAAAAAGAAAAACACCCAGGCTTTGGTAGTCTCCGCAGGCTAGCCCTGCACCCACACCAGGAAGAGGAGCTCTGATCACTGGAATTCAGCTTTCTGGAGGGGTGGGTTGTGGCAGCCAGTTCATATTCCCACATCAACTCACCAGTGTGACACCTGTCCCTAAAGATAACTGGTTATTGACAAGGCGCCACATCACTCAGCGCCCTTGGGGGCCACTCCCGAGGTCCGGCAGATCCAAAATCGCTCTGTTCTCCCTCTAAGTACATTGGCTCTGGATTTACACATCTTCTCGTATTCTTTAAATGGCCTTAGACTCCCCATCTGTAATTTATATTCTATATATCATGAAAGAAATGTAAATGCTATGTAAATACTCTTATTCTGTGCTGGTTAGGAAATGAACACAAGGGGAAAATTCTGTGTGTGCTCAGTGTAGATAATTATTTTCTTCCCAAATGTTTTAAATCTTTGGTTGGCCAAACACATGCCTATAGAATGTCAGATCCAGAGGATCAACTACCGTCATTGCTCTTCATCTAGGGCTTATGTTTTTGAATGTGTATTAATATAAAAGCAACAAATGTAACATAAAATTCTAGTGTATTGTTATCAGGCTAATTGATCACAACTACTTGCCAGCAGTGGAGTGTCATGGAGCCCTTGGTGGCCTTATAGCTTTGCCCCTACCCCACAAACATCAAAGATTGGAACAACACAGCCAAGCACAGTGGATCTGACACACAGGCTAGCAGCATTTTCCGGAGCAGAAGCCCCTTTAAGCTCCTTCCCCCCAAAGCACAACGAGAGGGATCCCAGTCCAGGTGCCACCAACTATGTCCTATGTGCGACCCTGTATGGGTCTCTCCCCCATCTAAGTCTCTCATTTCTTGCCCTTCTGTCCCCCACCCCCCGACACACACACACATACACAGGCTTTGAAATGTTTCTCTTCCTATGACGGTGCAAGTTAGAAAAGGAAAAGTCCCAGATCTCTCTATCATGAATGTCTATTTCTTCTTGCGCAGCTGCCATAATTGATGGGAGATGGGCATTGTTCTTTCTGCCAGGTTACTCTGCTACTTCTGAATCTTAGCAAAGACAAAACAGGCTCACAAAGCCACCCACCTTGCTCCTACAGACTGAGCCAAGGAGAGAAAGAAGGAAGCAACAGAACATTTTATCCATAGTTATGACTATGGCCTGAGCCAGCCATGTTAATAGAGGAATCTCAGGAGTGGGACAAGGGCTAATTGTCATATATCTTCACATCAACATGTCAAATACTTTTTTTTAAAAAAGGACTGTGTGCTGCCTCTGTTTTCCCGACAAAAACACATTTTTTTTTTTCCTTACAGGTCATCCTCCACCCCACCCCAAACAGCCCCAAACAATCTGAGTGGCACAAAATGACAGTCTCCAAAAACTGCCCCGATCAAGACCTCAAAATCAAACTTGCTGTCCGAATGGATAAGCCTCAAAACATGAAGCACTCCGGGTAAGTGTTTCTTTCCCAGTTTTCTCGAGATGTGTGTCCATTCCTTTCTAGAGACAAAAGTAGAACAGCAAGGTGCCGCTCAGTGAGAGATCACTTACCTGGAATGTATAAAGATCCGTTTTGGATGCCCAGAAGTGCAGGAAATGAGTTAAGCAAAACCCAAACCAAAGGGATTCCAGAGAACCGTGGGGAAGGAAGGAGCTGGGAAGCGCCCACGAGCAGCTATGAACACTGCAATTAGCAAATGTGCCGCTAACTGTCTCCATAGGATTCTCCAACTCTACTTACTGCATTTTCATGAATACCATCAGGAGAAGAACTCCCCCTCCCTCTGAGAGGACTGCCAACACAGCTCAAGCCTGGCCAAGGCAAAATGGGGTCTCTGTTTGTACTTGTGCGGGTCTCATGGGTTATGATTTCCTGCCAGTGGCCTTCAGGGGTCCCTCCCTCTTACATTGGTGGACAGCCACCTTCTTGAGGTATGATCAAATACCTAAATCGGGTCCAAACTGATGTCAGGTTGACTAAAGTCATAGCTCCCAAAGTTGAAAATCTGCACCCTTCATTCTGTGAAGGTTTGCTGGTGTGGCCAGTTGAGTGACCATAAGCAGAGCAAGAAGAATGGGGAATGTTTTTGCTTTTGTCAACAAAGTGATGACTTTTTTTAAAAACCAAAAGGTTGGTGGTAATTGGTTTCTGTGCAGCCACAGCCTCCTAAATGGTCTTGGAAACGGTGATCCCTTGCAGAAAAGCAGGACCGTGTAACTGTGAAGAGGGGAGAGTTTAGACAGCAGAAGAAACTGGGCTTTTGTCAGACGCTGTGTGGGTGCCATTGGACAACTGGCAATCGTCCTCCATAACCTTCCAATGACTGAAAAGCACCGCTAAGTCCCGTTGAGAACTCAGGATTGCAAACCTGGCCTGGAAGTCTATGAAAGCGGGAGACCTGTTACCTAGTGATAGCCAGCAACCCAGACCAGTGGGGAAAAAAAAACCTGCAAGAAGTCCAAAATAACGACCAGGACAGAAAGTGGGCATGCTTGCATGCTAGCAGAGTTCACATCATGCGGTCAGTGCCTACCTGTGATGCCTACCAAAGGCTGTTCACAGGCCGGACACCACTTCCCAAATGCCATGTCTGCCTTAGGCTGGTAGGAGTTACACAGCACATTGTTGAAGCCAGGCTATTCCCAAAGCCAGGTGGGATCGAAGCTTGAGAAACCTGTGAAGAAGGATGCAAGCTACTTACACTCTTACTCCTGACTCTCAGTCATTGCTAAGCAGACCAGCCAGCTCTTCTCTGTTTCACGTAGCTTCTTATCAAGCAGGAGTTCAAAGTCAATCTAGACAGTGTTTGTCAAAACAAACAAACAAACAAACAAAAAACCTGCAATGTTACAGTGTTGAGAAAATGGCCCTATCGATAAAGTATTTGCTACACCTGGGAGAACTCCTGAGTTTGGACCCCAGCACCACACAGCAATGCTTGTCTGTAATCCCAACCCTGGGCAGGCAGAGGCAGGTGGACCCCTGGAGCTTACTGAGTCAGTCAGCA